TATATATATAGTACATTAGTGTAAGGCAGTTTTTTGTTACTTCATGTCCTCACCTAGTTAAAGTTAGTCCAGCTATCAACTATCCGTAATCAAAGTTAGGTTAACCAGTAAACAAAGAACTCATTTAGTTGGCTTACATAAAGTGAACCCGTATACTTTAAATCTATATAGATCTAGTTAGCTCCATGGCATTAAATTTGATTTGTAAACCTGTTGTGTAAATTCTTTATGAAAAATCACAAATGTTTCAAAACCAACCAGGTGCAAACTAAAGTGTTTGTGAGTTTATTCTTGCTGAATCATAGTTCATTATACAGAACTGCAATCAGGCTTAGTTGAAGTTGAATTTGAAACTTTTTTCAATATACAGGCTATTCTAAAATATCATGCGGAAAACCGTTTTTTTAATTAGTGATTGTGTTGCATGGGGCCACAAGATTAGATAGTCGAAGTGTTAAATAAGTATTCGAATTCGCCAGGTTGTACAAGTTGTTATTTGTCATGTTGCTTATCATTTATCTGTGTGGTCGTTTAGTGTCATTAACATTCAGATGTATTTCCGGAAATTACATAATTTCCTATAGGCCGTGAATATCCAAATCATTGGCTATTCATTCACCTTTTCAAGAGTAATATTTGTATAATCAGTTGTTCGATCAGTTTGTGCCTTGCCCATTTCTATGGTGTAGCATACTACGCCATCAGTATTAGGTAGTATATTAGGTTGTTTTTAGATTAATTATAAATTTTATAATATACAGGAAGATACAAGTAAATAAATTATATAATAAGATATGCATATGGAATTTGATTCACTGATTCTAAGTTTAAGCAATTTCTTGATGTCTAAGATGCATTTAATATTTGGTAAATGATGAGGAATTATACAATGATATGGACGTTGCATAATCCCGACTATACTTCGGACTAAAAGACTATTATGCAATTATTTTATTCATTTCTCGCGAAAATACTGAAAATCATAGATAAATCCGGTAATAATACCACTACTCAATTATTTGAAGTTATTTAAAATTTATTTGTTCGTCAATATGATAAATAAAATTATATGTGAAAAGTACGGAGTTTTTGGAGTTACCTTTCAAGTTCTATTTTTGCTTAAAACTAGTCTACCAGCGTTCTCTATTCCCGAAACTCCAGAAACTTTAAAAGTATTCGCATTGCTTATTGGAAGTTACGAAGTGACCAGTTGGATAATGAGGTAAAGAAGGCTTCTCTTTAGGGACCTGTGATTTCTTTGCGAACTTGTTTTTTTGTTTGTCAAATGTCAACTCGGTCTTACGACGACTTATCGATTTATTGGCGAAATTTCTTTTTTAATGATAGTTGGCATGCTTAGTAAATTTTGAATGTAGTTGCTTAATCGCAGAATGTTGTATCTGATTTGGCCATCTTATCTTTATTACACGATATATTCCCTAGTGCGCTGAATAATTTTAACCTTTCCTCACAATTTATTCTGACCTTGAAGACCTTATATTGTCGATACTTTGAATTTGAATATTGTGAGTTGTGACGGTTATGGTTGGAATCACGTCACTTCGTTTTTGTTTTGAATTCTATTATTTTAATTTTTAGTTTTTCAAATTATCATCACGAAATTAGGTAACTAACAGTGCGCCATTGCCCGACAACGTATATTTTTGATCAAGGCTGTCAACACTTGAACAGAATAGATAGATAATAGGCGTTTTTTTATAGTCCAGTGCCTTTATTAATGGACGTAAAATTGATTTAACGTCATGAAATTAGTGTTCATCCAAGTAAACCTGGACTGGTGTGACATTTGCTTTTAGGATAAAAAGTAGAGAGCATGGTTGATGTTTTCAATAATATTTATTCTTAATTGTGGAAAAACTAATCAATTTTACTTTTAGCTGACTTTGCGCCATGTTAGTTGCCGTTTGTTGGAAAGACGATTTTTGAAATTACCTTACGATTTTTAATCTACCGGTAATTAGGCAGAATTCTTTTACTCCATTTGACATATCTTGGATTCTGATGAAACTTAGGTAAGGATAGTTAGTTGGGCAAATATGAGAATGATCACAAAGGTATTATATTCTCTAGTCACAAAAATATTTTGCAAAATTTCATATCTCAAATAATGAAAAATGGATTAGTTCAAACGTTAGTACAAATACCTTCATTTGTATTTGTTTTTTAATCTTCAATATATTCTGGCAATACATTTAACTTGTACTAGTTTATAATGTATGCATATTTATATATGAATTACAGTAATACTAAATAAGTTAAAATATTTGTAAATTCAACGTAAAATTTCTTCACCCAAAACTTTCTCCCCTGTTGGAAAACCTAGTGCTATTCGGTAACGCGTCCATGCTTGGTAGCCGTTTTGCTTCTTTATTGTAGTCAGTGCAGTGAAATTCGGGAATCATTTAGGTACACGCTACTCTAATCAACTCTATAGTAGTCTATACATTACAAAATATTTTAAAATGTAAAGAATTTAATGTTTACTATGCAGGTCATATTGATTCCAATTTATATTTACCTCTGACTGTCTGTGAAGTAGATGCAGTTATGCGATATGTTCTAGTAGTCAATAAACTCATTGTTTTGTTATTTTTATTATTCGAGAAATACGTATACACGAATTTAAACTCATTGATACGGAGTTAAAACGACCGTATTGCACGGATTAGGTGTGATAATCCTATAACAATAATATGCCGTCGAAAAAGCGACTCGCTAGGAAGGGTCCGTCGTCCACTTCATTACCTGAGTGGCCAACAAGCTCTTCTATAGCGGACAGAAGGAAAAGAGAGTTCGTTGTGATTACACCACCAAGTATTGATATGGAAGAACCTTTTCAATGGGAAACTAACGCAGAAGAAACGGAAAGCATGGACGATTCAGATTTAAGCATCTCATCATTAGCGGATAGTGACTCAGTTGTTGATATTTCATTGGATTATAGCCAAAATGACCAAATAAAACAAGCAGCAGCAGAACAAAAATTATCTGATGATAGTTTACTGAATCTTAAGAAACCACTCTCAATCAGTCGTAGTTGCGGAAACATTTCGACAAAGTATTCGTATGCTTGTAAGGAAACTGATAGTAAAAGTTTACAAGTGCCGAAACGTCATAAAACATTGAGATCCCAATCGGCCGAATATTGCAAAAATCGATTACCGAAATTCTTATTTCCGACAAACCAAACTTCTTTGCGTGACGCTGTAAACAACTCTGAAGAAATTGCAGTTAATCAGAAGAGAAGTCAAACTCCACAACCCAGGCGGAAATATTTATCCAAATCTCGATCTTGTTCTCCGGTGAATTTTTCAATCGCAGGATCCCAAATTTTTAAAGGTACTCTCGGGGAAACTTCTTTAGAAGGCACCAAGGCTGCATGGGCACGTACTTTGCGTTTCTTGACCCGCAGACAAATGAGTGATTCCACTTCCTCAGCAAATGCGACACGCGATTTTATATGGCATGATGTAAGTCTCTTGCATTTATTAACATACTTTTCTTTAGCATTGAAGTACGATTCAATGATTTGATTTCAATAAACATTCCGAAGCCAGCTAGCCTTTCGCGAGAAATTGAAGACCATATTTCCGCATTGTTCAAATCGTTCTGTAGTTCAATTATGCATGTATATATCATAGAATCATTGGCATTTAACTTGTTTATTTCCGCGTTTTTGTTAGTTTTGCTATTGGTTAAAATCGTTTTTATGCTTAAACTAAATGACGAAATGCTAAGAGTGCGGTTTTAGTGACGAGCTGTATAACCACAATGTCACTGAAAATCTGGAACAGATATGTAATCAGTTGTAGTATGCGTGTCGTCTCTACTGCTACCGGGAATTAAATAGATAAGGTAATATTGGTTATCGGTTTTATGTGTAGCCAGATGAGTTTCACATACTACACCTTTAGTTTAGTGAATATAAGCGAGCCGGCGATAGTTGTTATCAATTTCTGTGCTTCGTTGTTTTGTCATTAACCGGATAACTTATACATGAATGCGTGTACAGTTATAAAAAAGCAATAAGACTTACACAAGATGAGCATTGTATTACTGTGCTTGCGCATGCGTTGTAAATTTATAAGTAGCCTCGTCCGTTCAGAACGAATGAAGTTATGATCGATATTATTGAACATACTTACTTGAACCCCCAATTTAATTTAGTATTGAATTATCGGACGCGTTTATTGCTATGCTATGTTCATTGCTATAGAAGTAAAACTGCTGAACCGTGAAGAATAGCATTCATGTGTGAAGACATGTCTACAACTTATTTGTCAGGGGTAAGCAGTTGGCTGTAAGAACCAGTTGTTATAACTAACAGTAGCATTTTTATATTGGTTGACTAGAAAGGGAGTCATACTTTTATCACAAGTCGCGAGTACATTTGCGCAGTATTTATATTCTTGTTCTTAGAGTAAATATTCAACACGGGTCTGTAAAGAGATGGCAATCCTATTTGATTTAAATGGAATATTAAACGGGTGAAGTTATTTAGATAATGACGCTTGTTTGTGCCAATTCAACAAAATCCACCCACACTAAGTACTTAAATCCAGTTATCTCTATAATTAGTGATGTTTGGTTGAAAACAAAATATGGTTATGCCCTGAGGCTTTGATGCATACGACATATACCAATGCTATAGAGGTCGGACTTATGGCAGGAGCTATAGGAGTCAAATTAGGGTGTTTATTTAAATATAAAGCATATTTGCGAGTGCTCCTGACGATATATTTTAAACGTATATGCGAATGGTTTTGCCCTTGGGCTTTGATGCACACGATGTATCCTAGTGCCATTGAGGCAACAGAATATGATCGGACGTATGGTAGTAACTATAAGAGTCAAGTTAAGGTGTTGAGTTGGAGTGTAGTATACTTGGGTGTGAAGCATATTTGCTCTTCCTTGACAAGGGGTTTTAAATAGATGAGAGATACAGTACAGCGTGGATTTTCGATATTAAACATGCTTTGTTTTTCGCTTTGTCAAACTTATGTAATTCGAATAAACCCCAGATAATCATCACGCTACGCCACGCCCAAAAATTGATTTTTCATTAATCAGCCCTGCAAAACTAAAAGAAGTACGAAAGACAGGCCATCAGGTTATCCATCTTTCGCCGCCTTCATATCGATCAACACCCTAAGTTAGAAAGTATTACCATGCCTGCTGCCTAACCTTGTTATTTGATCATGCGTGTCATAGAAGACAGCAATCTTATCTGCGGTCACATTCGAGGTTAGAGTCCAAATTGTTGTATCGCTCAACAACATATCGTTCTACCAACGCTGAGGCTTATGCGGTTTCTGGAATAACTAAGTTTTAAAGTTGCAGTCGCACACGTGCTTGGGAGTTCTATTAGTGAAATATTACCGCTGAATTATTGTTTTTGGAATAGCATTATAGTGGGTTTGACAGTCACCCAAGGCATACATTCGAGGTTAGAGTCCAAATTGTTGTATCGTCCAACAAATATCGTTCTACCAACGTTGATGCTTATTCGGTTTCTGGAATAACTATGTTTTCAAGTTGCAATCGCACGCGTGCTTGGGAGTTCTATTAGTAGAATATTACCGCTGATTTTTTGTTTTTGGAATAACATTATAGTGGGTTTAACAGTAACACCCAAGGGATTGTTCGTTGTCTGTGCGGTTTGGCTCAGTTCGAATTGGGTAATCTTTGCTTTTGATACATTTTCCATGTGGAGAATATTTTTATGAGCTTGTCATTGGGAAATCAATTATTGTAACGGTAGAATGATCAGAATAGGAGTTTTTTTGCAGGAGTTATCGTTGTTATCTGAACCAGACTTGCGGTTATCTTCTGAGGAATTAGTATTGAATAAATAATACATAATCTTGCCAGTAGGGCTATTTTTCCTGTGGTGATTATTGTCAGTCTGAAAGATCATAATTATGCTCTATCAAGGGCTAGTTTTCTCATAGTGAAAAATTCAATTACGCTTTATAGATAAGTTGCAATCTATATAATAAGGAAGATGGCATTCAACATATCTGACGCAATTGACGACATTCTTTTGGAGGTAATTACGTAAAATATAATTTTTGGTAGAAGCTTTCAAAAATACTCTACTTAGCTTTTGTTGTTCCGTGTACAATAATCCAAATATCGATATAATGATGAGCAAAGAAATGCAATCCAAATATTTATACGCTAATGAGAAATAAATGCCTCAAGGAAAGGATCTTCAATACGTATATAAAATTCATTATGTTTTGAATGTAAGCTTTTGTGCGAAACCGTTTGGTTTTGTAAACATAAGAAATAATATAGCATATTATATTGTAGCCTCCGGCAAGTCTGCTTATAGCGGACATATTTTATAAGTGAATCCACGTGGTGGCTTTCCTTCGCGATGTTGATGATAATATACAATATACATGCTGAGTTATGAGTAATAAATAGTATTTAAAGATGTAATAATGATACTAATAGTTTAGTTTTATTTCAAAATCACTTATTCGTCTTAAATCAACACTATAATATTGAAGTATACCTTTTTCGAACCTATTGCTAGCCTTTGACTTTTAACGTTATTTTAGTGTGGTGCATACCGAGATTCGTAAATATTCAATTGTGCCTTCCACATCATGATTTAACGTGGAATTGAATGTATTGCCAAATACGATATTTCGGAACGTCATTCCGTAGGATTAGAAAATTTCACTTTTGCTACCGACTCACTACCGTATTTGTCTGTATGGCGTCCTAATAGCCCATTGCGAATGAGGTCATCGAAATGTCGATTGGTCCATTCATCGGTCCTCTTTCATATACTTTCAAGTTTCAATACTTGAGTTTTCTAAATCGCCAAGTTCACGGAAGAATTACTATTTAAAAAAAAGATTTATCGATCATATATTTCATCCAGTCGTTGATTATATTTGTTTGATTAAACTATCAAAATTGGTTGCTATTGTCCCAGTGTTCATTCTTCATACATACTCTTACTACCACCAATGACGTAGATTGTGTCATCGTTCCTTCCTTACTCTCATTAATTGCGACCACTAAATTTAAACATCATCTTATTAAGTGCGTAGTTCAGTCCAGGTTTGCGCTTTCATTTTATGTATTTAATCGGATATGTTTATATTTGTACAGCCTCCCATGTTTGTAAACGTCTGAGGTATCCGCTGGAAACTTGAGAAAGTTTTATTCAGACTACGAAACCTGATATACAATTTGTCAAGCAGGCGACTTTATTTTTAGAACATTACAAAAGCCTACTCTGAACCCCCAGTCAGCTGGAGGTCCATAAAACTATGGACGATTACAATTGACACGGAAGAGTTGTCCAGTTATTGTAACCGGGCCCGAGTCATCTTATGACATATCTTTTTGTTCATTAGTATTTTGTAAGGTCTGTTGCTATCGCCATTACTTATATATATAATTGTCTGTCTTGCAGAGTGTGGGCAGTACATCAGATGGAACAGAAGGAGCGGACAATATGATAATTACTCAGAACGCAGCTGACTCTTACCATATTGATGGCACCAATGGGGGATACGAGACGCCTATCATACCGAACTTCTCAACGCCTCTTGGAAGTGCCGCAGGTTTGTTTTTGCTAAATAATTTTTGCTATCAATTGTCAACTATGTATTACCTCATGGGCGATTGCTTTGTTACGTATTAGTAGTCACCACTTTCCGCTGAAGCTGTGTTATTTGTCTGAGCTATCTGAGCCAAACGAAAATAATGATTCAGTCTTTTTGATGAGAAGTGTCTTAACTTAGTTATTTCCGTTTTTATTTTTACTTAAGTTATTTAGAGTGTATACAAATAACCATTATTGAATACAGATTCGTGCTGCAGTCATAAATTTTCAGAATTTAACACCGCATGAGCGGGAGACGCTGTGCGATTTTAAGTCTTAGACCAACTTTTAAATTACCATTATACCATTCTCCCATTACTCAGCCATTGTATCTTGTATGATTTCTCCGTTGTTGCGCTAGTGTGGCCACAGGTCTTCGTGTCATCTCTTCAGATTAGTTAAAGGTACAGTCATGGCTACTTCGCGGCCGACGTATTATAAAATCATATGATCGAGGCGTTACAAACCAAATTAGTCACATACCAATATAATTGGGTATTTGAGTCAATCTATTGTTGCAACTAACTGACAAGCCAGTAAGCTTGTCAGTTAGTATGTATATTTTCCCTGGTTGTACTTCAGTTGCAGTTGAGATGTAGTTTCTATATTTATGTCGCATTTGCATCGATGGATAGTTCTTCTACTCCGTATTAATGCCAAAGATAGATTGATACTGATTATCATTCGGTAATAGTGACTTATGGCATAAGGTTCACTGTTTAGAGGTTAGTGAAGTCATCCATGGATGCTTTTGTAGTTATTAAATACTTGTGACATCGCGCACTATAATTTGGGGAGTGAAATTCGCGTTCGTTGATAGAACTGGCTCAGAAGTATAAGCTTATGTTTTGCGCCCAATTTCCGATTCCGATGATAAGATTTTATAACGTATTCAAAAAACAAATAAAATTATGCAATAATAATATCACTGCGATTTCTGCTTTTAAACACGCATATAGATATTGTTAGCGACAAGCTGACGCGACCGCACTGCTATATAAGATCAGCATTATGATCTTAACTTGCCTAGCCAATTATTGTGGTAATGTTTCAGGGGGCATATCCTTGAATAGTTTTTCTCAGTGAGGATAAACTCTTGTATTCTTGAACCATCTTTCGATTATTCACTATTGAATCCCATTCTTCTGCATTTATCTGATAGAAAGTTACGAATGAATTATCCAGGGTTATCAATGCAGTGATATTTGCATTGTATTTTACAGGTTCTACCAGTAGTATGCCTGGGGATGTTCCCGATGGTATAGGGTCTTCAAACGATTCGCAACGGGCTCACCTTCAGCAAAAAATCTTGAAAATAAGGTAGGTGGGATTTCTAAAACATCAATTTGATATTAAACAACATGATAGGATTAGCAAATAGACGCATCACATATGAATTCACTTATAGACCAGACGGCTCTTAATGCCTGTTTATAACTTCAAAAATTCAAAATTATCCTGGAATATGGCCATGTGTGCTAAGTATGGTTTGGCATTCAAATCTGATGTCATATTCATTTGTTCGTTGACGTCCATTCAGCCTCCTTAGTACAGAGTTGTATTAGATAATCTATAAATACAATTATGACTTATGTAGCGTGGTGCTATCAAGGTTTTAAACAGGTCACTTAACAATGACAAGTAAAATCTACTTAGATAATTCCCATCTGCACCGATCGTGTTTAATTACTTTCTTACTACACGCCCGTTATCCTCGAGTAACTTTCCAATTTTCAGACTCGAAGTTAGCTCGCCCATGTCTTATGCTCTTGTTTTGTATATATTTTTTAACAAAATATATGTTACTTTTATAAAAACGTCTCATTTTTCAGTGAACAAATCAAAATAGAACAACAATCGAGAGACGAAAATGTTGCTGAATATTTGAAGCTAGCTAAAGACGCTGACAAACAACAAGCTGCTAGAATTAAAAGCGTTTTTGAAAAAAAGAATCAGAAGTCGAAAGCAATCGTTATGCAAGTAAGTTACCACAATGTGAGATGTTTCGAATGCGACTAAATACGAAATAAGTTATCAGAGGACGGCTACTTGACCGTGCGTTCGCATTGAAATATATTCTTTCTGTTGCAACAACTCGGTTCCTTATATGACATTTCAATAGCAATTCTCGGAGGGTCCTACGCAAATGGCGATTGGGACAATGTATCCACCTTTGCTACTCGCTCTGAAATTGCTCTTGTTTTTATGCATGGACTTGGACATAACTATGGCCTAGCTGCTCCTAGCAGCTCGCCCAACTGGTATATGAAAAATGTTTATTTGAAGCCCTGAAGTAGGCACATCGGTTGGCAGTCAATGGTCGACTGGCTATTCACGCTTGATATATTAGAAAAGAGACTTGGGCTTGGCACAGTTGCAGTTGAACTGAATTTGAAATTGACGTTCTCAACACTATCGACTATTGACCCTTTGTTTCTTCACCTACATTTATACTCGATATAACAAAGAGATATGTCATTAAGATCGTTTTAATGGGTTGTATAGGCTGCTGTAGGATCGCACTTGAGTACTTGAATGATGATATTAAAAATTGTAGTCTACCGTAGCAGACAAAGTTATCTGCATAGGCCTTTATATATACAACACGCTTCAAATGCTATGTTGTCACCGCGCACATGGTTTGTCGCGTCTAATATGTATAGATAACACTGCATGTCAGCCAAGTCAATAAATGTTAAATATTTATTTTTAAGCCTCGAATATAGCTGTAATGTAATATAAGGCACGGGGTTCGGATGCAAGGTTGCCATCGCGTATTTGATCTGCGGTGTCTTGTATAGATAACACTGGGTGTTGTTAAGCTACTGGAAAATTTTGTTGTTGATATACGTTAAATAATAAATGATGTCTCGATTATTTCAAAGTCTCTATTATGACTAATATAAGGTACGATTGGTAGAAAGCACTTTGGTCCGGCTTTAGGTCAGGTTTAGAATTTGCTCCGATCATTGAAATGGCTTAATGGGTTTAGGAATGTTTAAGGTTGTGATAAATACTAAATAATAAATGATTTTATTGCAAAACACAAATGTTGTTTAAATTCACAGTTTCGACGAACTTTCGAATACTTTTTGGAAGGTTCCTCTTATAAAAACATCGCGTCAATTTCGTGTGGTTACATTAATAATTCTGCTTTGGAATAGTGCCTTTCAAATTTTAAATTTAATATTTCAGCTCTTTTGTTATGATTTTTGTGGGCAACCTGTTTTGACGTGCGGAAAGCTTTTGTTTGTGATACGTATTATGCGAAACAGAATAGAATATACACTATCGCAACCTCGTCCTGTAAAAATCAGTTTTGTACTGAAACGGCGAGTCAGAATGTTGGATAGTGATCGCGCTCTCGGTCGATCAAGGTCTTCGAGCATTAAATAACCTTTTACAACTTAGTACGTAGAGAAGTGATTTGATGTATTCATTCGACTCACGATTTCCGCCCACAGTTATAGAAGGTAGAAGACTTTCGCAAGGGTTCAAACAGTTGGTAACTTTTTCGATGGGCGTATATGGGCGGGTTATTGGCTAAGTTTTACTTTCCATTATAGCAAAGTTTGTGGATTTCATATTCGGCTTCGTTTCAGAATAATTTATGTATGTATGTACGTAAGGTGACATGAGGTAACCGAGAAAAATGAAGGTAATTGTGCCTGCCCACCTGATCAAAGGTGATCCTCAAAATAAAACTACATCTTTGTCGTGCAAACATAAGTGAATTTGCGATTCAAACATACTACTAGACTTTTTCTCTGAAATCTCCGCTGGAAAATAGTTGTATTACTCGCCAGATCACATAACCGTGCAGTGAATTAATTTTGAAACCAGGTTAATGGATGTGATATACAATTACACTCTATGACTAAGCGCACTAAAACCTGATTTGCGCTGTTACGTATAGGTAAAATGTTTAACGTATTGTGAGTTTCTGAGTCTTGTATTGAGATTTTATGGCTAAAGGGCATCCATTTTGTTACGTATTCAAGTTTTTATGTAGCATAGCTCTGGTTAAATCTATAGCGATAATATTATAACTGGACGTTCGTCGATTTACTTCGAGGACGTAACACATTCTTTCACGTTGTTATGCTGTTTAACCATCGAAAATATTTTATACTTTATTCTATATGATGCTGTTAGCAAGAGGGGTTCCTGGATCACGGTTGAATAAAATTCTGTTATGTGATGTAAAGTCTCTAGTTAACTTACCTCAGTCGCAGGGGTTGTCGTCAATCGCAATGTATAGAACGCTTCATCCATATCCATTCAGTCGTTTACTCGTGTTATTATTAGAAGATATAGCTCGCTATTCATCATTGATAGGTTGCTGTTATACCTTTTACTATTTATATTTTCGTGCTTATGAATATTTATAATTTTTGCATTATTAAAACCTGTCATTTTTATTTTCGACTCTTATTACATCACCGTTTTTAACAGTAATTGCATCATATCAGCGATTTAGTGTAGCGATAAGGTGCGCATCATGCTGGAAAAGAGTTTTAGTTAAGTAATAAATAATTGTTGGTAGGGAAGATGTATTTTGGAAGAGTTAGGGATTTTATGATATTCTCGATAGATCACAAACCATGTCGCTATATTGCAATCGCATCAATCGATTCCACCCAGATATATTTCATATATTTATTAGCTTGTCAGCTGTAGCTCTCTAGTCTCCTCTATAAGTACTTTTCCGGTATTAGTTGAAGGCGTTGGATTGTGTGCTTTGAGTATAAGGTTTTGAAAATGATGTCTGTAATTTTGCCTTGATGTAATCTGCATTCAATAACGGCGAATAGGCAAGCGCGGCCCCTTACATCCTTCCGACGCCGAATATTTATATTGATGCTTAAAATTTTAATATGAAATTAATTAGACGTAATTCGTTGACAGCGTATATTGATTTTTTAAATTTAAGCGTTTCCGATATAAATTGTATGATCTGTGCTTGTGGCTAGAGCTGGACTATAATTTTTGGCCAAATAATGTCGCCCATAATGTTATAAATGAATCAGTTCACGTTTATTTCCAGCCCGATACCCAGAAAACGCCCATTGAAGAAGTCAGTTCAATATATGTATTTCTGTCCTGGTTATACGTTTTAAAACACTTATTACGATAATAAGTCCTGTTTTAAATACTATTTACCACTTGGCCGATGCAACGTTCGAACTTGAATTCTGATTTATTCTCCAGCCTGTCAAGTGATACAGCGGCTCCATCATTTCAACGCCGAAGCTTGCTTATGATAATTAATTTTTTCGTCGGACGAGTTAATGAGAGAAAATCAATGACGATTTGAAGCCAAGTGGGATATAAATGTATTCGATGTATATTGCTACAGAGTTAGGTCGAGTTCTCTTAAATTGGAATTTGCTGTTTTATCACGAGTCAAGGATTAGGACTTAGAATACAAAACTTTGAAGTAGCTAGCGACTGTCCGGTGTTGTAATAATGCATCCAGTTTTATGCCTCATACCACCCTATTGCTTTTCGCCTGAACTCGTATAGTCTATTAGGACCGACACAATAAAATCACATCAATTCATTCATTTTATATATATTATCCAATAATCGATATCGACTTGACGCCCGTGTTTCAGTTTTTTTTTTAATAGTAGCTAGCTACCTTCCGGAGCATTGTGACTTGTGACTCATGATGATATGTATACGAGAAGTGCTTGCTTGCAGTATCGAATTCAAGATCCTAATTTTTATGGTTTTTAAAACTAAGCTGCTTGGGTTTATACATATTATACAATGATTTATTATGTTACTCTTGACCTAGGATTTCGGGTTTAGATAAGTCGGTATGTACAAGCAAGCAGTCGAGAAAAATCAATATATTCGATGGTTATATGATTTTTCGCGGTGTTGTCATCTGCATATTGCAATCCTCGATAGATAGACAATTGTTTCGTTCATTCTCGCTGACCTCAATTAACAATTGTGCTCAGGTGAGATCTCCCGCCACTAGCTTCCGTTTTAGCTGCATGGGTAAGATCTACAATAGCGCTTCATTGCAAATTATAGTTGCTAATCATTTTTTTTCATGATGGTTCAGTCATCAAGATTCAGTTTATATCAGGGGTGGGCAAGGGGGCTAAAAATTTTGCCCATCCAGAATGGCGGGCCATGTGAGTGTGAGGTAAAAGTTGAAAAAGCAAAATTTGAAAACAATGGGGCCGCTGTCGAAACTAAATTTAATCGCAATCTTAACAAATTCTTTGAGCTATTTATTAGTTAAAACATCAAATTTTGGTTTTAGTTTGGTTGTGGCAGCATCGGGTGGGCCAGATTGAATTACCCAACGGGTCGGATTTGGCCCCCAGGTCGTAGTTTGCGCATGTCAGGTTTATATACTTTAGCAAATTTACTTTCTCTTTATCGTATTGACCTAAGTACGTCAACGTTCTTGTAATCGATTTTAGACTGCAGATGCGTAGTTGCGACTTCACTTGGATAACTGCCAAGGCTAAAGTCTGCCCAATCCTCATCAAGTAATGTCCAGTTGCTCTTTACTTTGCGATATATATGGGCCATCTGTGTATATCTGTCACTTCCTTGCATTCTTTTATGGATTATTTTGATTTCCTTGGAGAGAGCATGTCGCAGTAAAGCCGACTATGCATTGCATTTCAATAAATAATGCCCAGAAGCGTGCAGTGGTCTGATATTTGACGATGCGTTTTGGGAATAAAATGTGTTAAATATAATCTTATCTATTACCATTTTTATGCAATCACCCGTTCTGTTGGTTGGTTTAGCGACACACTACGCTTTTTATTAAACCTTGTAGGAATTGGTATGACTCAATATGTAGAGACGTTGATGCCTGTCCTTACATTGTTTTCGTAAAATTGGTCTGAAGTGTCAATAGCTTCGTTATGAATATTAAAATCACACATTGTAATTACTTAACTAACAGTTGGGGTTATGTGAAACTAACTACCGTTTCTTGTTCTATTGTAATTACTTGTAAGCTTTTTCTAAATAACTGCAACCATGAACTTGGTTGGTTCAAAAAGCGAACCTTTAAAAAGACGAAGTCTACGTTCAAAAACGACAACTCGCTTGGTGAGTTTAGATGGCGCTGTTCCACCATTGAAAATCGCTCAGCTAATAATTTTGTTTCGTTACAGCTGCAAAAGAAACTTGAAACATATCATCGAAGATTACGGGAGATTGAAAACGTTGGACCGAAGAGTGGAAAATATGGTCTGAAAGAAGTCGGCGCTAAGTTAACTGATTTCTCTGGTGGTGTTGTGGATAGCGTCAAACAAGTTCGTTTTTTTTTTGAGTTTAGTCATTTTGTTCCTGCTTTTCGTTTCCGGAGGCCTAGACCTAGTCTACAGAACGTTTGTCATTTATTGATTATTAATTTGGTAATTATTTTTCGATCTGATTGTTAAATTTTTCAAGCCTTACCCGATGAATGTTCAACTAATTCATGTACATACTAGTTGCTTGCGTGCTATTCACCACGATTATACCTACATGCTATTTTAAAAAGTTGTAAGTCACCACGATTATACCTACATGCTATTTTAAAAAGTTGTAAGCTAATTGTGGTATTCTTATGTTGGAATTGGTTTCTATGTTACTTACTACACATTAGCCAATTAGGTTTCTTTGAATATAGTTAAAAATCTGCGTAAGCCTTCTCTCTGCGTGGTTGGATGTATCCGACCACACTTATCACACAATCTTTGACGCATCGGTGTCCGAGATCTCTAATCTCGATAGTATAGCAATCTAACCTATAAGCACTCGGCTGAATTTTTTATTCTATTGTTGCCAATGTTTTTTTTTTTTCAAAATGGGTGTTTGCCCTATCGACTCTTCCTTTAGATTGTGTTATACCTTTATGTTATTTTTAGAGTGCTGCTGGTATCGTTTCACGGCCTCGTGGTATAGCAACAAAGCTGATCAATAAAAAATTCGGAAGTTCTGACAATATAGCGACATTAAAAGAAGAAGATGCAATATCAGAAGGTAGGTTTTTAACTTCGTTCAATCAGACATGTTCTGTACTTAAATAAAAGGGTTTGATTTGCTGGACTCGGATTTTTTTTATGCTGGTGTGGTATATAAAACTGACGTGGCATATAGAATAGAATCTAATTTACATTGATTTCCGCCAAGGCGTCTTCGTTTCAATCTGATAATATTTGGATAGAAAGTTTTTTTTCAAATCTCTCTGCTTTTCTATGGTGTATATGCCTTTAGAGGTTCCATTACATTTGAACCCACGTACATTTGAACCCATGACAATTGCACCTGTATGCTATTGCACCTATGGAATTTTTTTTGTTTTTCGGATAGTTGAACCCAAACTAACCCTAACCCACGGGTTTACACCCGCATATAGATTGAACCCGTGGATATACACATGGGTTCAAATGTACGTGGGTTCAAATGTACGGTCACCGCCTTTAGACAGTGAAGTTTTCTCGTTTTTCTCAAGTTCTTGTTTGTCGTCCACCATACTTAGATTGTAAAAACAAGGGTGGATAGATTTATTGCAACAGCTTTATTTACAGAAAATGATCGTATTATGATTCAAATCAGATAAATATAATATAAATGTTGAACTCACCCTAAAAAATGTATATTTTTCAGTAAATAACAACGTTTGGCGTAATCTTCCTCTTGAAAAGTATTTTTCCCTTTTTCTTCCGCGTTATCGACTTTTCGCTTTGCGTAGTTTATAATGCCTGCCATAATAATGCCAAGCCTCCACACTGGAAAATCAAATTTAGGATCATCCGCAAACAAACTTTTCAAGTCTCAACGTCTGCAAACATCAAAATCTATTTATATCATAACTTTGCGTTAGACCGTGTACAAAAGCTTATTTTCCAGTTTTCATGAAGGCTTCTCGACTGCTATTCCGACTTTTATAAATTTTATAATTTTCACTGATGGACACTGAGCGCGAATATAGGTTTCTGTTGTCTCTCTTAAATTTCACGAAATCACAACGTTGTATATTCATTGTTTTTTAGGTCTTGAAAGAAGCAACAGCTTCGGAGACATCAGCGTCTCGACCTCTGGTTCCGGAGAATTATCTGAAATTCATCAAACGAATCACGCGAATCAATCTTTAGCCAATAACCAACAATCACCTGTACAGATTCATTTACATCCACAAGTTCTAGCGATGAAATCGCAACTGTCTACAATTGAATCACATTTGAAACGACTAATCGTAAGCACAATTATGTGATTTGTTCAAGTTATTAATAAACTAAAAATGGTGGAAATTTGACATCATTTACAAGGTTTTAGCGTGTTATATTATGTATATCAACTAATATATCAGTTTATTTCCGATCCGCGCTCGGGAGTCGTAGCTATGGAGTCGTGACGTATTCTTGGAGATGGAGCCAAGCTTACCATAATAGATACAACTGGTGCCGTAGCTACTAGAAGTTAGTGGCAACGACTCCTAACCGTCTAATTTTCCGTCTAAATTTTCCACGTGTAGAATTTCCTAATACAGTACTTTATAAAAACATTAAAATCTATCATTTTTTGAAACCCGGCTTAGAGGTCAAGGAACGAGGCTCGGTGCCGGGACAATTATGATAAAAACATAGGGGATGTTTTGCTTAGGTTAGTTGGTTATCTCTGGGCGATGTTGTTATCCACGATACGCCTGGTTGTTGGTATACAGCACGTTAACTGGTTCTTCATGAAAGCGCTCCAAATTGAATTTTGTGCAAGCATATTCATTTACATTTTTGTCCCTGTGACCTCGTTAATCTTGTAGTTTCTCTTAACAATGATCATTGTGCTTGTTATCTCTTGAATATTCCGTCTAAAATTCGTCCTCAGTTATGCCGTTATTTTCCATCGTGTTATTCGCGACTTACAATTATTGTTTCTTCTTTTAAGAATATACATTTTAATTTGATACTTTTGATACTGTATTGTTTCCAGGAATTAGAAGCGCAACACGAAAGAGTGAAAACAGAAATCGTTGATTTATCATCACAAGTGAAAAGAGATATCGGTATTCTCACTAGTACTATTGAAGAGGGATCATACAGGTAAATATAAGAATTTTAACGGTTGTTTTGAGCTGTTATAAGCTACAACATCTGAATTTTACAGTACGATTTTAGAATCTAATTAATGCTTGAGTTAATGGATTGTTCGTGGTCGCTGTATGACGGATGAGAAATTCCGAAAAAGGAGAAATACTAATAAGGTTTATCGATGTCTCCCTGTTCAATATAATTCTCTTTGGGAATCCTGTTTACCACCCATATTTTAGTCGTTTCTATATTTTGTATTGTACTCCTCTCTATGTTTTTCTCTAAAATCATTCTTATGGAATGCAACATGATATTTAGGCGTTTCAGCAGTTTTGAGTTAATTAACCTTTGCAATGAGTTATTTTAAGTTTTATTTTCGGAGAAGCCAACATTATATAAAACTCTGGGTCCCTTTCTCTTGGTGTGTTGCGTAAATGACGAAAGATATAAATTGCTTTGTTTTAATAATTAAATCTTGATCAGATACAGAGAAACTTGTACGATAAATCTGCGTCGTCTCTCCGTTGTCTCCAGTTAATTTCCTCGATTCGTGCGTTTTTGCAACTGCTTGATGAGACATATCCCTGTTATGAGATATAGACAAAAATGGTGAAGGATTTCATGATCTCTATTTAATATTATTAGATGTACGAGGATAGAGGATCAATTGCATGATTTATCAGAAATGCATCACAGAGAGATGGGCGATATCAAACAAGATTTGTCGAGTTTAGAAGAAAAATTAGAATATCACGCTCAGGAGAGAGCGAGAGATATACAGGTAGGATATCATCTGCGAAATGTACATACCATATTTTTGAGAATTTCACAAGGAGTTCAAAGTTTGATGCCTTTAACTCCGGGAAGGTAGTTATGTGTGGTTTAAATATGGCCCAAGCATGATTGGTATATAAGAGTTAACATTTCTTATGTATACTTCTTATCTTAGGCTTAATTCAAAACAAAACCAATAAGACATTTTCGCGCCTTTTTCAAGCATGATATGGGCTTATCCGAGTGTTTTTGTCTTCCGGTTGTGCGTCACTCCCTTTTGGCCTAGTTCCAATTTTACGAGTTTTATATCTATAAATATTTGAAAGCTAAGAAACATACAAAGGAATACGTTATTACTTGAAAGAAAGTCATTTGCGCGAACGAGCGCTCATTTTTCCTCGCGTAAACACACTAATAAACGCACTAATAATTACCCACACAATAATAAACAAACACTGCACGCAAAGAACCGCGTTGACTTCACAAACATACCGCTTCGTCACTCGGGAACTATTCGTGCTACACCATTGCCTGTGGTATCATTTTATTAGGAAAGCAAACAGCGAGACGTCTACAACGCTTGCGAGAGAATGACGTTATCATAAATAACAATTCAAAGGCCATAAAGAAGAAAGATTCGCATGTGTTTACTATCGCCGATAATTTTCTCACTTACGTAAAATTTCGTACATGAAGCGGTCCTTTAGCGACCTCTTGCGTATAGAGAACAATAATACGATTCAAACAAGCGTTCGATGGCCTTTCAAGCCATCTTGGTTAGGCGACAAATGCTAATTAAAAAACGTTAAAAAATTTAAAAAATTTTTCGGGATTAGAGGGTTAATTAAAACGGGTGGGGTGATAGATAGTTTCAAATCATATGCGAGTCGGCTTGTATGGTACACTTGAACGTCTTGAAGCAATTGGTTTGATGGAACTTGAAATTTTGCTATTTCTAGTCTGATAGCTAATCTTGATAAATTAAATTGGTCGATATTTATAAATGACGACCAAACATTGCTAGACTTTGATGGGCATGTTTTGCTATTTCATCTCTGGTATTCCTGCTTACGTGAATGCCAGGAACACGATTTTTAACTTGTTTTTTAATTACGTATACCAAGCCCATTTGATTCAATGTTGCAATTCGAGGCAGTTACTAGTCTGTGAATTCACAGATTAACTCGTTTGGGGGAGTCATCTTAATCGAGTCATCTAAATCCGACTTAACTACCAGGATGTCTATATAACAAGTCCAGTAATGTTGTATTGAAATAAGAATAAAAAAAATCAATAAATTGTTGCTGTAATAACTAGACCATTTCTGGGTTGTTTATGAATTTCACCATGACTCAGACTCGACACGACACTGAAGCAACTTAACATGACATGTGACTCGAACTTTAAAATGTCCGGGCAATGGGATTGACCCATGACTTCCGAAACCCGTAAACCTGAAAAATAAATTCAAATCGGAGGCAAATATCGCACTTGTCGGGCGCAGTCCTATATAGGCCAAGCAATCGAAATTCACATTCAATTTTTGTATCTTTTTAGGAAGCGTTGGAAAGTTGCCAAACTCGAATTTCTAAAATGGAAGTTCAACAACAACATCAACACCAACAACTTGTAACAATGGAAGGTGTTGAAAACGCTACTGCTCGTGCTTTACTTGGAAAACTTATAAATTTATTATTATCGGTGCTCGCTGTCATACTCGTTTTTGTATCCACTGTATCAAGCATTGTTATGCCTTTTGTTCGAAGTCAGGTGAGTTTTGCAATATATTTTGCTTTTCTTGGGCATGCGAATAATTTGCCAAGTAGTTATTGCTGTAGTAGTAGTTATGTTGGGTCGAAAAATATCCTTTTAGCCGCTGGACCGATCGCTTTTAAATTTTCATTATCTAAAAGTGGAATTCTAAAACGGTGGTTCAGGCTTTTTCCAGGCGATCCAAATAAAAAAAAATACATTCGACAAAATATCGCGTCCCAAGGATACGCGCAAATATTAAACAGCATGTAACTTTTATGGCCAAAAAAAAAATTTCTTAACAAAAACAATCATTTTTACGTAACATAAAATTTATTTTACCAGAAATTACGTCGAAGTGAGAAAGCTTCGCTTGTTTACCATAAGCGAGGTATTGAGACCGTGGCGTGGTTTAAATTTGTGCCATGTTTTCACTCTGCAATACCTCTCACATATTCAATTATAATTAAGCAGCACTTCAATATTGAGTGCAAAATAACCAATAAAATTTATTTGAAAATAAAATCAATAACTTCAAGTTTTTGGTTGAAAAAACAAGCGAATCGAGAGGATTTTCGGGCGTCCCAGCTGTGGGTTGCGACCCACAGGTCGGGAAAAAACAGTCCTAGCCTAGAAGACTATTACTTTTAATATTTCTTCTGGGTTTAGTTGTTCGTTGTCCTTATCCGTATATTTATTATTGCCACCGGATTCTCTGATGATCAATTTCAGAGAGATTTGGGATCATATAAACAGCGAGAATTTCGAACATTCCTTCGTGTCCTTTTTTGTGTTGCTTTGCGCCGTTGTGAGATTGGAATTATGCATTATAAAACACTGTGGCGACAGGATCTGTCACATAAGATTTTCACATATCATAAAATTTGTTTCATAATTTTTTGAATTTATTTTCAGACACGCATCGTTATCACTGGTTTATGCGTTCTAATATTTGCGGTGCTATACAGGAACTGGGATCCATGGACTACCTATATAACAGGCTTATGGTCAGGAAGGTGACGTTATTCTACCACACTTGAAAGCTATAAGGGCGTCGTCGTTGAGATGAACCAAATAATAATAGTACAAAATAGATATGAGATGCTGCCTTCACTGTAAACATGCCTGAATGACAGCTCACCGAATTCTGAATATGAAAGAAATATTGGATATAAAATGGAAGAAGAATATATATAAGAACATGAACCTTGGCACTGCCCCGATTTTAATCATTTGAAATAGAGCGTTCTGAATATCATTGCACTAAAACGTCAACCATTATAAAAAAGCACTTAAACAAACAGAGTACTTATATATATATATTAAAATAACATTGCCTTCGGTACATCTATTATATAATTTGCTTGTATGAGCAACCGTTTGTATATACCAATTCAGTATGGTTATAAGATCCGGAAGAGCTTTCCTCATTTATATGCTGATTTTTGATGATTCTGTTGTTACTTGGCGACCTGAGGTAATTGTTCTATTGATAGAAGTTTGTTTCAGTTACATTTTCGCAGAGAGAAACGGACAAGCACTGTGATGTGATAATCTTGTACAATATTCACTGTCATTGAGTTATTATTCGATTGTTCTATATATCGACGTCAACTTCACAGTTCCAGGTCCATTTTTCAACCTGCCCAAAATGAAGGCACTTGCTAGTCTGCCATATTGATGCATGCAGTTTTTTTTACTCATTTGTTCAGCCACGCATTGTGATTGTCACCGTTCATCGCATTAACAGGGAATGAGAGTAAGATTGTAGATGCAAAAGATCCCCAAGGCCAGTTTATTTCAATACAAACTGTTATGAATTTACCTATTCCTGCGATTATTTGTAATTAGATATATTTGTGAATAATGAATCAAACGCTATTCTCCTGTCATTCATCAGTAGTATCATACTTTGCTTTATTAGCTCTATACGCAGTTTTAAATAAACTCGCTTGGTGTAAGTTTTTTTCTATTTTACGTGGCCGACAAGATTCCTGCTACATCTGTCTAATTTTGAAATCTTTATTGTTTCTGATTTTTCCTGACGCTGCTTTCTGACTATTTTTTCTACCTTTCAATATTTTAAAATATAGCTTATAACCTATTATTCTCATTCAAAAAGCGCTAGTCGTTAACATAACTTCTTATGCTTCTATTTTGTAGATGCTCTTGCTTATGAACGGTATAATAGTGAAATTTATTTTGTATTTTGCACCAAATAGCAATGTTCTTCATCGGAAGCTTTTGCAAGGCAATCGAAAAAATATAAAAAACAACAAGTTTGTTTTTACTTCTAGTTGTACGTCCGGTTTTATAGATCACCTGGGCGATGATATTTTTGAGCTTGCTTGATTTGCTTTCTGTGCGTTGTATTTGCTTCAATGCTTCAATGTCTATGCTTCAAAACGCCAAAAAATGATCTCGGCGATTTTTTTGTACAAACATGACTAGCAGAAGGCAACAAAACACTAATTGCGGTGTATCGCGCGATGAATTCCTATCGTAGGGTCTATGGACATTTTCTCGACCCTTGACCCCCCGGAAGATTCTCCCTATTCTTTATCATTGCAAACTTTTCAATGCTGATTTTGAGAGTGTTTTGGAGAGTTGGCGCTTACAAACTGACTCGCATGTTCGAAGCTATCATTTTTATTCAAAACAATAAACCACGTGCTGCTTGCAGGTACTGATAGCTAATTTTAGGCTAGTCTATCGCAGAGTTTGCGCTGTCAATTTTTGATTATTGTAACTGAGCTCAAGGTCTTCGGAGGACACAATGACGTTAGTTATCTGATGTACAACTATTTTTTGGAAACAACTAAAAACTGTAAAATAGCATGCAGAACTACCAAAAAGAGGTAATGTTTACAACCACGCTTGAATATCTGTCTGAGCGGCGACATAAATTTCAATTGTTACGTCATTGTTAACTTATTGCTGATTTGTTATTGTTGCGGAAATAAACAATGAAATCTATGCTCTGGGAAAAATTCATTAGTCATAGAGACCGCAAAGGGTGTTGATGGCAGTGCAGCCTTGGAATCTCGGACAAGAGAGCAGTGCTCCGCAGGTGGACGCGACGGTCCGATTACCAACCACAGATACCAGTAACCTGTTCGGCTTGCTCTGAAATCCGTTATTTGACCATTATAATTGCAAATTCTATTGCTGGCGTTCAAATACAATAGAATAAAAATTGTTCCGCTCTTAACATAATATTTGCAAATTATTCAGTGAAATAACGCCATAAAAGACAATAATTTGAAAGAAATAATGGCCTTTTTAGATGCTTAAAAAACTTTTTTAAGTACTCTAAACCCATTACAACGGAGAGAAAAAGATTTCCTGACAACAACAAGAGTTTATAATAACTATTAGCGAAACTATGATATATATATATATATACCCGAAAGGTGAAGTATGCATGAAAACAACAGTGACTGTTCCAGCTAAGACTGATCGAGCACAATCGGCTCTGAAGTCGCTAGTTTGACAGACTGGGAGTGCGCAATCGTTGTCTTATCTGTCTGAAAAAATTGCTTCTGCGTAAATTTCGTGCATGTGCTTGTGCGTTAGACTCAGCAGGGGTTCTCAAACTTTTGGTGTTGCGGAGCCCCCGAAAAGGTTGATTATTATTCGCGGAGCCCCAAAAGAAATGTTAAAATTGTAGCTTTCCGATAAATATTCCTGAGTAAGTTAAAAGTACTTAATTTAAATGCTAAACCTTTTTTTAATGGGGTTAATGCAAGTCATAAATAAATCAAAATTTTAAAGATAAATTATATATACTCTTACTAAAGCTGTAAATTTGACACTTGACAAACATATTAATAAACTAGGGGTCGAATCTTTTCCCTTTTGAAATTTCCGGAAGACTCAAAAGGCCGCTATTAACGTGCGCGATTGCATTTTGTTACAATCACCGATAGTTTTCGTCAGCATGGCATGTTTTTAAACATCTTTACGCCGGTGTTTATTCTCCCTAAATCAAAAATTTTCTTCGGCAAATACATGTATTTTGTTCCCCAATGACGACGATAATTGCTTTTTTGTTCTCGTGGGGAATTATGAGTTCAATGTGAAAAACTTGTTACCATGTAGTCATCGGCGACGAAATGCTAAAAATAATAATTAATAATAAAGAGGTAAATCCGCAACTCAAATTTCTTGATTGAAAAACGGCATTCTAAAATATTAAAACTTAAAATAAAAGATCACACTACAAGTTTGGTTTTAGCAGACTCACGTCAGATTAAAAACGCTTTTATAGGCATTATAAATTACAAAATTTGGCGTAATGTTAGGTTTTCTGTGGTTATTCATCGTATAGTAACTGCGAAATCGGAAAACAGTCAATTGTGTGCGCGATTTACCTTTTTTTTATTCTGAAACTACCGACGGAGCCGCATGCAAAATAAATTTCAATCGTATTTTGCCCAGATCTTGTGATTTTTTAAACGGCGATATCTTGCTTAATAATAATCTCGAGTGCAAAAGAACAAATCAAGTTTGACAAATTCCAAGATCGCAAAAATACGACTCCAATTTATTTATAGTTGGCAGTTTATCACGTATTTTATGTTATTTTAGAATAGTATTCTTTCATTTTAGTAATCCTAAGAGTAATCTCGAATGAAACTTGTGTAACTATGAGTACAATTGAATTATTACGACAAGACACTTTAAATGCTCGCATCGGCCATACATTGAATATTTTACGCAACAGAAATCTCGTTATCCATTTTTTATAATCGCAAAGAATTATGCGCAAAAATTTCCGATTCAATTCCCCACCTCTTGGGTATCCTCGCTGCGCTTCAGCTTATAAATAATGTCATTTTTTAATTCCGCCTCTTTGTCATATTTCGAGGCTATATTGTTGTCAAATTTTATCAAAGCTGTTATGGCTTCTTTGAACAGTTACAAAACTAGTCATTATTTTGAAAAGTAATCGAATAGCTCGCGGAGCCCCTGGGTTTCTCTCGCGGAGCCCTGGGGCTCCGTACGGAGCACTTTGAGAACCTATGCGTTAGGTTAGAGAATATCCAGTAACTGAGAAGGAAGATAGCAAAATTGCGGGGATTAAGATTTGTTTCGTGTATAATTATAAGATCAGCAATTTTTCCGAACCGCCTCGTCAAAATCACATTTTTTCCTAGCATGTAGAAGATTGAAATGAAATAAAAGTTTTGCACCTATCGCTAACAATTTCAGTATGGTTCTCATTAGTTAGTAAACATACATATATATATATATAGGGTGTTCACTGTATCGATAAATTGACGTTCCAATTAAAAAAAAAAATAATGAATGTTTCCCTGAGCATCGGCTTCCATATTTGCATCCGTAGTATTGACTAATCAGAAGATGCAAAAAGTGACGTAACAATAGACGTTTTATCAGACACTTTTGTCACACGAACAGATTTTCAGGCATGGTTGTAAACATTTTGCACGCTATTCGTTAGTTTTTAATTTTGTTTCGGAAATTTGAGTATATATGAATCCAATAACTCAATGATCATTTTGTCTTCTTATGAGATTTAGTTTAATTGCAGTGATCAAAAATTAGTCCAGAAATGTCTGTGATAGACTAGGCCTAACTTTCTACCGATACTTTTAAAGGACAGGTAATTGAATTTTTTTTAATCAAATTGATGGTTTAAAACAGTGGTCGGCAAATGTACTTGTACTCGCAGGCCGGATAGGGACAACGAACCACTAAACCCAGAAGAAATATTAAAAGTACTGTATTATCAAACCATACATTGTTTTTATTTACTTGATGTTTTTTCTGTGCCACGGCGAAAGCGTTAAAATCAAATGACAACTTTGTTGTCCCGTAGTACGCAGTCCAAATGACAATTTGACAAGCAGTACGAAATTTATTGTGAGTTGAATACAATTTATATAAAGCTGCCTACAGCAATATGTAACCTGTACATTACACGTTTGCACTGTCGCACAGAGCAGTGGCGCAACTTGGGTTTCGGGGTCGAATTTCGAATTTGCAGTGATACGTTCTCTAATGACGTTTAACATTTAATCCTTTATCACCTGCGATACTGACTTGGCTTATATATATATTAGGCACACCGGCTTCGAAATACGCAAGAATAATAAATATTTTTCGTCCAAGCACTTCGGAATGTTCGACCCCCAACGCGAACTTCCCTCCGTTCCCGGAGAAAAAATTCACATTCATATATTTAAAAAAAAAAAAAAAACTTATTTAGTAAACGACATACAACTCAGATATAACTGACGCTGCAGAAAAGCACTTCCATCGCAATGAATCGGAGAGAACAATACTGGTTGGATTGTTGTGAGAAGGGTAACTCCTAACAATAACGCATTCAGATTGTGAAAGCTTTGACGTGGTCAACCTATATTATGGATATGTATTCATATTTACAATTAAAAAACCTCTTTGATACTACAAAATTCAAATGCCGAATGTATTTAAACCTTGTTTGAAGATCCAATATCGAAGTGCGTTCGTATCGTGACAATTTATTAAAACGACATTTTTCTTCTGAATTGTGTTTATTGAATCCAGTATTTTGACAGATACAATCGCAACTGTACATATTTGCTAATTCGATTAATCAAACATCCATTCCTACGATGACAGTTTCATTGACAGCCATGGACGGCATGGTCCATTAGCAAAAATATCTGTCACTGTTTTAAACAGGTCCAGTATTTTTATTACTTAGAATGACCTATAGCCAGGGTGGCCAACCTGCTTTCGAATGCGATCGACTAAAATCTTCAAAATAGCTCGCGATCGACTGATCGGTAATAAGGTCATAAACAAAAATGAATGAATACTGAATACGCAGATAACTGCACACGCGTACAAAAATTCCAACGCTGCCAATAAGCTCGGCTCTGCGGGCGCATTCTCAATGAAATTGAGTTGCATTTTTTATATTCCATTCATTTTGTCAATTTGATTATGTAATTGTACCCGGAGTAAATGTTTCATCATTTATTCTAGATTTCTTCAAATCATACAATTCAAATCTAGGGCCTGTCTAATTTTTAGTAGTAAGTGTTTTCAATTCCTCAAAAAATCTTGAAAAGTATCCATATATATATTATCTAAACCAGGTGTGTGCAACCTGCGAGCCGCGGTTCAAATGAGGCCCGAAAGAAAATTGTGCCGCCCTCGGAGAAGCCCCACTTTTTTATCTATTATGTGCGAGTAACTCCAATTCCTTTGTATTGCAATGCCAATATCTGAGCATGTGCCTCAGTGCAAAGCGAACAACGCATGTCACAGGATCAATAACCAAAATTTTTGTGACTGCAACTACTAGAAAGTCCATGTTAAATAAAGGCACGGCCCGCTGTTTCACCCAGTTATTTGTATCTGGCCATCTTGTATTAAAGGTTGCACACCCCTGATCTAAACAGCGAATAATGAATATTTTCAAACAAACTATAAATGGTACATGACTGCTCAAACTTCAGTATCCATTTTTCTCCAAGTCCGATTCTTTGCTCGCTTGGAAAATAGAACAAATTGGGCATTGTGATGCCACTGCTACCGTTGCGAATAATATTCATCACACTACTCGTGGAGTGAGGCAATGACTTTCGCACAGTGCAGGAATTGTTGAAGGATCGTTTGCCAGTCAAGACACACGATATTCTGCAAGGTCATTTCTAAAACTTGGCAGTAGTGAAACTTGCATTTGTTACGTAATGATATGCTCTATCGGGCGTGTCCACACCCAATTACTGCATGTGTACGAGTATATGGTATTTTGCGCATGTACGGTACTATATTATTCCTGTTTTAAAACACACAACAGGCGCTGTATGAAACTCGTTCAGGGCAGTTTTTTGAGGTATGCTATTAAATTGACTCAACATCAGACGCGATCGACTATTAGAGACGTGGCGATTAACCGGTTGATCGCGATCGACGTGTTGGCCACCCCTGACCTATAGCATAGACAAAAACACACCGTAGATTATGAAAATCAAGTTATCTTGTACTTTTCATCCTTTCCTAACAGTGTGGTCTATCTAGCGGTTGTACTTTTTTTTTTTTTTTTTATTAAAAGGAGAAATAAAAAGCATTTCGCAAGAACAATTGAAAATATGTCACTCATTGTACTCAACAACATAATCCCTCATTTCAGAAAATGTATGTATGTCACAACGTAGGCTACAATAACATGACATAAATCTGATACAAAACGCCAAGTATAACGCTAGTCGTCAGATGCGTTACATGTTACCCATTTGTTGCGGCCCGCTAACGTCTGAAGCAAAAAACAAGAACGCGTTCACTGACTATTGCGACATTGAAACAAAATTCTATATTTGCGAGATGAGCAGTTTGTTCATGTATTATTCTTGAATAATCTTGATTGCGTGGCCCAACATACAGTGTTGCGCCACATACCTATTATTTCTTTACAGAGTTGGTCTTATGGAGTAATACAACTGATGGCGCAATTTCGATGCCGTATTTGATGTTTCAGAAAAATTGTTTTGGATCGTTCGATTGAATTGATTGACAGTATGCCAACTGTACGATCTGTTACCCACGAGAATGTTTACCGGCATCCTGTTGTAGAACTTTCCTATTGAGCTTATAATGTGATCATGTTTGGAACGAAGCGTTGATTTTAGTACAAAGCTAAGTCATTAAATTTTAGTCAACAACTTGGCCTAAAAATATTTATTTTCTGGTGTTTTCTCACATTATCCAAATATAGATGAAATCAACAAAAAACACTCATATTACCCAATTATAGATGAAATCAACAAAAAACATGATCATGGGTAATAAACTTTACTATCGTTTAACAACCTTTTTGCAAATACTTAAACACACTGCGAGCGAGCATTTGAGGCCAATCCTTGTTTGCATTAATGAGCAGCATCTATTTCACAGCGTTTGATCTGAGATAGCCTTATGTAGTAAAATGAACGAACATCCTTGAGATCTCTAGAGTCTAGCTAGACAGTAAATAGATTCTTATATGTTTAGTAATATAAATTTATTTATACACACACCTTACACTGACGTCGTTTTCAAGAATAGCTTTTAAAATATTGTCTGAAAAATATTTTTTATATAGGCTACCTATAGTTGCACTTGTTGCCAATTACTATTTTATGACATTATGTTTCATCACAGTGAATAGAACTATTCTCGTGTAAAAGGTAAAAAACATAAAATACATGTTTGGACAATAACACGAGAGGCAAAATATCAATCCATAGAGGTCGAGAAATAGTATGGATCCAAAACCATTTTCTCACAAACTTTCGCGTGATTTTATGTCAGGTGTAGAAAAAAATATTTTAACTTCTAATAGCGATTGAACTAAATAACGATGCGCAGTCTCCATAACCAAGCCGTGAACTCAGAGATATAAATTTCATGTTTCAATGATATATATTTGTTTTGTGACGAAGATTCATAATAACGTTTGTGACGAAGATTCATAATAACGTGATGCCATAAATCAGCACTGGTCGACGTGGGCTGGTCAAATTACGTCATTGTTTTCATTTGCAGGTGTTAATCAACAAGCGTATTGATAATAGTCAAATGGGATATCATATACCATTGACATACACTTTTGATAGTAAGTACGTAATAAAAGTAAAGTTTACAACGTTCGTCTAAAGTAAAAAATTGCAGTCAATGCCTTTCACAGTTTCATATGTCACTGACGAAGGAGCTGTAACAAAGTGTTGCTGTACATTTTATAGTGAAATTGTAATGCTCAACCGACCCAAAAATGTAATGTGAATAGAAGCTAATAGCCTATGAATAACCACAAACTAAAAAGCTTTACTTTACATAGACGAAAATTGGCCAAGACAGGTGGTAACAATCAGGTAACATTTGTACAGGTTACTTGGGCAATTCAGTACTTCCGTTCATGCTATTTCGAATTTATACTAATATCAGTCTATGGCTTATATTCATTCTTGTTCTTTGGTCGGATTCGAGCTTAAAATATTATTCTCTTTTTCGACTTGTCTTGGTATGTGTCCATATTGTTTAATCGTCTAATCTGCATTCAATGAACTGAATGTCTGAATTTGGAATCTCGATCAGTCGATTGTGTAATCAAATTGGTATTTATGAGTCATATTGAACAAATTCAAATTTTACGGTCGGCTAAACAGAAGGTTGCTTCGCAGTATCAGCAAAATTTACAAAGACAATGCGGCGTTTATTTTAATGCCATACTCATTATTGTTTTCACCACCTTTTCTATTTCGGCGTAGGTCTATTGTTCAGCATGATCGTTCATTTGCCCAACAAAACGCGACTGTTCGAATGACATATTTCGATGATTATGCTTATTTGACGATGTTTTACTATAAGTTGAGGTGAAGTTAATTCCCAAAACCCGTAGAGTGCTACCGAGCAAATACCTTTTAATGAATTAATATGCGTAAGGAAATTTACCAATATATGGATATCCATTGTGGTGGTTTGAAGTAGCCCACATTAGAGTCGCCATGGTTACAGTTGGATATCTGTCATAAATACACATATATGATAGGCTACGCCTCTTCAGTAATGTGTCTCCAGGTGGTAATGAGTACTGATTGTATTTTAATTATTTTCTTATCATCAGAACCTATATATATCACATAAGTCTTGTTTAATTGGCCTTTTAGTGCAAATGTCATCTGTATAGAAGTCGATATATAGCACATTATTCGTCTTATCACTTCACATCTGAAAAAGGTGACTTACGGAACCGTCTTTTACCAAAATTCTTTATACGATATAGTTAAATTTTATCGAGATAGGTAAATTTAACCACACTTTCCGCTCTGTTGTGGAACTGTTCATATGTTTATGAAATAAATTCATAAAAATCACTACATAATGACATAAATTTTTTCACATTTTCAAATTTGTTGGATAATCCGGAATACATTATGGCCCAGTCGGAAAACGTTCTTATACTGGAAAGCAGTACGTTGTGCAAATTAGAAACACGCTTACATGTATATTCGATCTACAACTCCATATATTGCTTTAATAGTAACATAGGTAATTTCCACTGACAACGAAAACGCCTGGTAAAACCCAAATTATTTCCGACTGTTATTTTTACAATAAAAGTGAAACAATTTCATTGAAAGTGATAAAAATATTTTATTTGTGCTCAAAATAAATAATAAAGAGGCAAGAAACAAAAATAATAATATAAAAACAAATAAAAATCTACTTTCACAATAAAACCTATTCGGCAGCACACGGAAAAATAGCAACAGAAATGTAAATTGGCTATCCTTCTTTTTTTACAATTCAATAAAAACACCTTGAATTCTGATTAAAAATTCAGCGACAATAACGGTAAAATGCAAAAATACAGAAAAGTTACATATTTTCGCGTTACTTAATAGTGTCTTATTCAAGTAGTAACTTTTAGGTTAGGAATTGAATTGTACTTGATCTATACTAGCTTAGGCGAAACGAAAATGAATAAATTATTGGAAATATTGAATTTGTACCTTTGAAAAGACTCACGGTCTCATTTTGATTGAATGTCTTTGCACAGAATAAAAATATTGCCAATTTGACGGGGTCGAATAAAGTAACCTCCGTTTTTTAAACATGTTCCGAGGAACTAGAACTAGCGCTCGCGACCGATGGAATGGTAACAATATCATCCATGTATAACTCATTAGTAGAAGTCGATTTATCTCGAAAAGAACACTGGCATGTATTGGTAGTAGTGCGTGTAAGACCGTTTTCTCTGGGATCTGATGTGGTCGGATTTTCGTTGGCAGAATTTCTGTTACGTATTTTAATTGAAAAATTCCGAAGACTGTGCCAAAGTTTTCCTGCGCCGTCCTTGAGTCCGTATCTTACACGTTTGCAGTAAACTATCGGATTCACCATGCAATTGATTTGAATTAAAAACATGGCGGCAAAGATGCTGGTTTCATTTTTAATACTTGGATTTATAACACTGACTAAGGTGAGTATACAAATAGGTGACCAACATGCGAAATCAGTACCTATAATCCACAAAATTCTTTTTTGCATTTCATAATCTTCTTCGTCTCGCGTCATGCTCAATCGTCTTTGTCCTCTATTTTCAATTTCAGCGCCAACAGTGGGAACACTAGATTGGCAGATACTGCGGGGCTTAGAACAGCATCCGGCCGAAATTAGACAACCAACTCCTCTCCGTTTGGTTTTCTTATAAACAATAGTATAGGCCGCAAAAACTAATAGAAATCCCGTAAAGTCTATGGTTAGTAAAATGAAAGAATATAATAAACCTGGATCCGACCAGTGTGCAACAATTGGTGGAATACAAATACTAACTTGAGAATAATATCCGTAATATTTCCATCCCGCAAATTCCTGGTTAATGTTCCACACCATCGATTCTAAACCATCCCATGTTATTCCTGAAAAGTGTTTCAGCTGCGGCACGTTGGACGGGTCGTGCAATACGGACATTTTGAAAACATAATCTTCGGCCTTATCACGTTCTAGAATAGTGGCATCCACTTGTGGGTGATATGGCACTGCTGCCGAATGAATAAAATATCGCTCTAGTTGAGGAACAAATGTCATTAGCGGAATAAACATCAGTAGTGCAGCGAGTAGATAGGTTGAGACTGATGCACATACAACATATTTCACTTTCAGTGCTTTGAAAGGCTTACTCACAACGTAAAGTCTGACGAACGATATCACTACTATCATAAAAGCGCTTGCTTGGGTAGAAAATATCGCCATACTTCCGGTAATATTGCAAGCAAGGCTGGATAACCATATTTCATCGTATCTCCAGAATTCCCCTCGAAAAATTTCATTTACTGACGCCATGATCAGAATGTTTATTGACATTATTAAGTCACTCACGCATAGAAACAGCACTAGAATGTGGTTGCTAATCTTACCGTCACCTGCCATTGTTCGCAAAGTTGCGTTGGAAGAGTGAATGTCATCTTCTGAATCATGCCGACGACGTCTTCTGCGTAAAATTATACAAAATAAAGCGTGTCCTGCTACAAGTATGTTTCCAATAAAAGCAGTGATTCCAATTGTCCATTCAAGAATTGGGAATATCAGACTATCGACTGCATATTGAGGTGAAGAAAGATCGCGATTTCCCTTAGCTGTTTCTGGACACCTCGTAATGACTTGTTTCGTATCGGTATCTCCACAGTAAACAAAATGCGGATGCCATTCGTCAGATATATCGTCACAATCTGCTATGCCGTCGAATAGCCTTCGCCAATCAATAAACCGCCATTTTCCATCGTAGAGACCCAAAGAGTGATCGAAGTCAGCGGTACCGTTTGCGATGGCATTTTGATCAAAGTGAGTGCTGTTACCGCAGTAAAAATAATGAGTAACTTTTGTTTTATATGTAGATTGTTCAACGTCTGGGACCACTACAGTATTGTTTTTTTCCTTGCAAAATCTTTCATCCACTCCCCCAATACAATTTTCGGTACCATCGCAAATTTCGTTCATATTCACGCAATGAAGGTCCATGTTCTTTAAGCTTAAAAATTTTTTGTCGCACTCAAAATGTCCGAGTCCACATACACTCGCATTATCGGGAGGTTTAAAAAGTTCTCGACAAAAATCAAAAGTGTCCATGTTTTCCACAGTCCTCATATCACACAGGCATTCATCAGAAAGATCGGAGCAGTGAAAAACACCATCACACATGTATCGGCGTTGAATATATTCTTTACTTGTTAAACATGGCTGCAGTTGACAAAGTGTCTGCATTTCTGTAATATAATGGTAATAGTAGGTCAATTTTGTTGGCAAGTACATTATCTGACTGTGCTTTTTTAATTCGAGCCAACAAGTTGAAACTCATGAGTCAATCCTGCTACATTTCCCCTTCACAGGAATGCAGTTTCCACACTACATACTGTTTTGAAAATTTGCATCATAATTTTATCGTATGACCGTCATAATGTCATTCGATTGTTATTGAAACGATATATAAATGAGCACGGAAATTAAAAAGTGTCAGATAAGTTTGATCGTTGCCAGTTTACATTGTGATATTGACGTTTTTATTTAACATTAAATAACTTTTTAGGGCAATAGTTCAAGGTTGCGAAACGTTTCTCATGAACCTACGCTTTCTTGACAAATGGATTGATCACGTAATTTTCTTTCGTGTGACTTGAGCCCAGAAGTTGGTCACTCGGTTATGCGTAAATATTGTATTGATGTACTCATGTAATGATGTACTCATGTAATGAGGTTAAAATTTATATTCTCTTTTTATCTGTAACTTGGAATATATATATAATTCAATTCGACTGTTCAGACATTACAGTGTATACGCATTTGGCTGCTCAATACTAAGTGTTAAATATCACCATATCCATAAGGCATAAGTGATGCGTTGAAAATTGCAGAAATCATATAACATGCAGATGTTAGCAAGTTATTTCCTATAATTTATCTCTTAGATTTGTTGCATCCAGATTACCATTTAGAAATAGTGTAATTCTATGCTGCATATACACGTAATCAGTAGTAAATTAATATATAAACGGTTCCGGACAATCTTTTGTTACTTACCTTCACAATCGCATTCATTTTCAACTTCTGTTCCATTAGCACATAAATGAAAATTGTCTCCGAGTGAGATGCTTTTATTTTTCCAGCCTTTCAATTGAAAAAAAAATAAACCAAAATTAATTTTAACCTAACCAACAAAAGTTCAAAAATGAATTGAATTCTGGTTAAGTAAAACGTGTTTTGCTGGTGCTGGGCTAATTAAAAAATTGTAAAGCTATTTCACCATGATACTCAAATGTAGCTCCAGTCTCCCCGTTTTGTGGGTTCGTTCATTAGAAATGAATTTGCATTGAAATAGTTATTTATTTTGGCATCTTACAGTTACATATACTTATTGATGAATAAAGAGTCATGGTCTCAAGTAATAAACCTTATCGTAATTAACAACGTAAATATTTAAACAAAACACGGGTTATGACAAAAACGTACTTCGTTAATCAATGTTTTTATCATAGAAATATGGCCGTAAAATTGTAATCGATAAATAATAAAGAAGTGGTTGTTTTCGTTTTTCTCAGAATGTTTCTATATAACTAAATCAATAAATTCTAAATTCATCGTGTTTTTGTTTATAGTTTAGAACAGAATGAGCATATATATATTATAGCGTTTTACTTGTACGTTCCGGTATTTCATTAAATATTTCTATCAGCCGATATCAGTCTACACTACATTAATCAACGCCTTCTGTCCATTTCGTTCATATCATTATAAGAGGACTGTTGGGTTCGAAATCACGTTAAATGGTCAACTTCACTTTTGGTCAAGCTTTGGTGAATTTGTGGGAACAATAATTTAACACGCCGTTTTTTAAAAACATTACTTGCTAGGTAGGTCATCGACCTCGTTTTACTGGAAAGCAGCGGAATGACGATCATCACAACGCCAATAAAAGAGATCGTAACTAGCCCGGACTGTCTTGCGTGATCATTAAATGACTTTTTTGAAAGTAAATAATGTCTTTATTTGCTCCAATATATCTTGTAAAACTGGACACTTCAAAGTTGTCAACTGGGTTTCTAACATTGTTTCCTTCAGTATCGCCGCTTTCTTGTAAATATACAATATTGTGTACAAACCCGCTATTTTCATCAGATCATTTTTGAGATCCCTCCTCTGTATAATACAGACGTGCGCGAATAAAGTAATGCTCTTCATTCCAATGTCACAATACTTAGATTCAAAATACACACAAATTGTTTGCTTCCAATTATATCGTAAAGTATCACTACAGAGTGTGAGCGTAACCGCATTCATGTTTGAAGAGAGTGATACTGTGATGTGCTGATAGAATGACTTTGATTCTAGTTGATTAAAAGCGACGAGACTACTCATGAATGAATCACACCGTGGGGACCTATTGCAAATATGATTCCAGATATGGGTTTCTCACCTGCCGTTAACACGATGTAAGTGCTTGCTACAATGAGCAGAACAATCAAACTCTTCCGAAAAAATAAGGCCATCTTTCTACGTTATTCCTTTCCGGTGTCCGGAAGTTGTTTAATCTCCGAGAAGCATATTGTTGTAGGCGGGAAACAGCTGTTGTAGTCAATAAACCGGTTTCAATATTGAATCAAGTTATATAGCCTACGCTGAAATAACAAACAGTTGAAACATCGCTATTAAAAAAGCTGTTTAAAGAGTCGAACATCGTTTTAATGACGTCATCAAAACACCCCGAGTTGCTGGTGGAAGCACACATGTTTCATGATCTTTGTATTAAGATGAATCTATAGCAAAGTGCCAAAATACACACGTCAAATTTTAACGCCTCCCGTTTCAGAAAGCAAAATAATTACGAGAACCTGGAAACTTCTATTTTATACTATATATATAGATTTTGATTTGCGAATTTTTTTTAAACTTTTTGCGTTTTGACTCATGGTTTCCAGTTGAACACCGAATTGAAATTGACAAACAGTAAGCCTCTGCTCAAAATACCGCCTGTCTGTATTTCTCTTCTGAATATACATAAATATCGCGAATGTCCAAAATTAACAAAATCCGCCAAGCTCGTTTCACACCAATTTAACATACTTCTGTTTCTGTGTAGACGGAATACTCAGCAGATTAAAATATTTGTGAAATAATATACTATATACATGCATACAACTATATAAACGTTGTAGTAAGTTAAAACGTCGGGTCCAAGACAATAAGGTTATTGAACCGGACGTTATTAAATGTCTTTTATTCAAATTCCCGTTACCTTTTCGTAAAACAATTACACTATAGTTCAGATTACTGAAATTCATACCAAACAAACGAAACGGCTGTTACCAAATAACGAAGCAACAATAACTATTCTCGTTCATCAAATCTGAGTCAGTCAGACGATAGGCTTCAATTGTCCGCTTTTGTATGAATTCACATTCTAGTTAGCAAGTTTGATAATACCTAAACCAAGCATTCTCTAAATCAAAATTGTACTAAAATGTATAGCAAGCTCCATCCTTTATCAATTTATTTCATTGTAACATTTTAAGTTTTATATTTGTATGAAAATTGGGTTTTCACAACGTCTATGCTACGGTGCGGTTTCCAAAATAAAATCTATACAGCCTACCGGATATTCGCTAGGCCATAACAACGCAGTGTGGTATTATCTATGATGCATATCATTTTTTTAGGGATTCTTATTAGTCAGCAATATTCAATTGGAAGAAAAACTTCCTTCATTCATGATCTGCGGTATAGAGTAGAACAATAGAAGCAGAATTTGTCTGTATGTAACCAGATTTTAACTCTATTACAAGAATGTATTTTTAGCGTCAAACAATTCAAGTCAATTGTAATTTTATGATTCTTGTAATTCTTTCGGATCCAGAAAATAGGAATGAAATACACCTCTGATTTAGGTATCAAAATATATGTGTAATAAATCTGAGTGGACAACACAAATGATAACAAGACAACATGTTCACTAGCATAAACTACTTTATTCTTGGGCAGTACGAGTGACTTTTTACGCCCAAACAATAGAATGATCGCTTATATCCGACCGCGACTTGGGAATTTATCTCTTCAAACCTTGTAGGGTGCGAATATATCTGTGTAACAAAAATAATAACTTTATGATACATAGAAATGCTTGTCCGCGAGCACAAATCAATTCCGCTTCATTTCGCACTCATTTCCGAATCCGCGAAACAGTCTGATCGTTTTAACAATCTGTAGCGTACTGCAAGTTAGAATCTATCCGTCAATTTTCATAATCAAAATAAGGGTAGCCAATTGAGAATGAATTTATTGGCGCTCCCGAACTATGTGCACAAAGATGGCGCACAACCTGATAACCTTAACCTGGTACACGTACTATGTTCAGGCTGTGCGCCATCTTGATGCACATTCTTCGGGAGCACCGATTTATTATAGGTTTGTTAAGGTCGAAATTGGTTGTTGACTATAATTCCGACTTCAATATTTTCACAAATAACGATTTCTTCCCAAACTACCCATTCCAATTGGCATGATAAAAGTCCGAACTTACCATAAACAGACTAAATATGCAAATATACCAGCTGTATGCAAAACAGTCATTTTACATAATACTGCTGCGTGATTGTCAGAACATAAACGAACTTACAATGAGATCAGACTTCTTCCATAAAAACATTATATCAGAATCGTGAGCTGCATAAACTACCAACCATTCTGTGCAGTTTTAAACAACAATAGTCTTACGTTTAGGCGTTTCTCGCTACAAAAATAAATACATAAAAACTGCTTTCGTTCCAAACTCAAACAGTTACCATGGCCGAATTCCTTCTATTTGATCTTTGAATAATTTACACTGATAAGATACCAAACGCAACATATGCGAAACGTTTTAATTTCTGTTTGCTTTGCCGCTACAGGATGCGACACGTCGTAAATATTCTATTTGGTAATTGGAAAAATCAAAGAGTGGCGAATTAGGCGGAGTAAAAATATAGAGATAGATTGAAATGTACAGCGATTTATGATTGACAGAAAGACATTGATGCTATTCAAATTCAAAGGCCTTGTCAAATTAGGTTTGAAGTGCTACGGGAACGAACTTGTTGAAGCATCAGAGTACTGAATAATTAAAACTGTGTTTGACAAAACTGATCTACGTCTTAAGATTGATCTCAATGAGCAAACTATAGGGATAAGCGTCAACGTAAGATGGACGGTAGAACAAGAATTTATTCCTCGAATTGCCATGCTTTATCCAGATCTGTATTTCTTGTTAAATTTATCATTGAAGTCATTTGATTCCTTCTAGTCGATCTGTTGTTACAAGTTTAAGTTTCACACGGTTCACATGCGAAAGTATCTTTTCTAATTGGGTAGACGAAAACTTGATATCAATTCAATTACACACAATAAAATATTGATGGGTAATTTCTATTTATTTTTAGTATTCATCACAGTGTTTCAGCGGATTCTCCATAGTTTTATTGTTTGCTTAAAAACACATTTGTACCCTAATTGTTCAAAAAAATCGAAACAGAAAATGTTGTAATATAATATATTCAAATTTCATTCCCCTGAAAATCGATGTAGCAACTGGAAATACGCACATACAAGTAAAAAACAACAAATATATAATTTGGGTCCGCGTAACCCTACATAGTAAAACAGCATTCCATACTATACATGGAATCTATATATAACGCGTGTAACATACTTGATCGGAATAAACATATAATTTGCTTTTAATGAACTCATTGAAACGAACGATCTCTTCTGACCTTGAAATATAGGCACGGAAATTGGTGACGTAACAAACGATATAATAAAATACGATATGGGTGGAATTTTTACAATGTATTCATTTCATCCGAAGAGAGCGTTGGTATGATACTATAATGTCTGACATAATTGACCGTGAATACTGCAACGCTTTTTCGGATAGGCAGAGTTCAGAGTGAAATGAAATGCATTATCTTCCGTTTCAACCAAAGCTTTAAAAAAGCATATGTCATGGATGTTTGCAGTCCCTACACACTTTATTGTATTAAGCCCACGCAATATCCTAAAAACGTGACAAAGTCAAACTTTTGTTGTAGCCGCATTGGTCCCTAAACTTTTTAATATCGTCACTCCTACATCGAATTACCAAAGCTCAATTACTCCTCTCACCAAAATAAAATTTCCAGTGCACGATTTATTAAATTTTCAGCAACCAGATAGAAATCCATAAACACAAAAAACAACGTCCTGATGTAATCCCAGTGGGGAAGGTGACACTGCTTTTGCGATATAAAACGATTAAACTTAGGTATTGCGGACAAAAAACGGCAACTACTTCATATCATCGTCAATCATAAGCTTATTTCAATATTTCGTTTTTATCATTAATGCCTTCCTTGAAAGGATGAGATATTCATGTTGAGGACAACCCGAAATAGAAGGCCAATGCTATTTTCTACATTTCATGATTATGAAAATATGTTAATGTATAAAATCATAGTCAACAACTTGATCTTAACTATATATATATAATACTATCGCCTATTGTACATCCTAATCCAACATTCAGTTGTTAAACTTGTGATCGCTCAGCGTTCAATCCTACAACCTGTACGGCGGATCATTAATTGTTATTAAGGCACTACCATGTATACGGTCCTAACCAACCGCATGAATGACTATTGACTACATCGTGATGTCTTCCGAATTAACCTTTAAAAATATCAAATGACCCCTTTAAAGGTAATTACCCTCAATTTGGGAACCGCTGTTATTATGTAAGCTGGGTTAAGATTCGGATTCTTCTTTTATATCTTTAATTTCTAAGTCACATATCGTCACGCTAATAACCGAATTGCGTAAGTCATTTTTAGCAGTTTTGAGAAAAACGTAAAAAACTTCCTAATGATTTTGTTATGCAATTGAGTGTCAATAATTTGCCATGGTTCAATTTTTTGATCTTAGCCGGATTTAAGTTAATTTGTATGACGCAGTTAAGTGACGTCATAATGGCGCACTGTGACTTAGGCAGAAATGTGTCTATGACTTGGTGACATACGCAATTTGCAACTTCACTATATGCACCAGTCCTGAAAACTAAACATTCCAAAAACGAATGTAATTCTCAGTATCTACAATGTCTAATCCCCAAAATAGCTAATCAGTTTCAATTAAATCATTTTTTATGTTTAAAAATATATATTTCATCAATATAACACGTTCTGCACACCCACCGAAATAGGACTAAGATTAAATATAAAGAATAAAACAGCAATGCACCCAATATAAAAGCCAACCAAGGTAAATTTGACTCGGACAGTGAATATCACAAGTGTACATCTATATACTGTACCTATACCTATACTGTAGTAAAAATTCAAATTAATACGCGCTAAGCTAGAATCCGAGATGCAAAAACTCGAAAATACTTCGACGAGGTTATTTTGCCTTTGTGACGTCACCATAGTACTGCGGTAACAAGGATAATTCATTATGACGAAACAATTGCACAAATGTGCATGTCATACGAAATCTCCATTTTTATGGGTTTCGGAATTCCTAAAATAAAATCTGAGTTAACAGACAGGTGCGCAGCATTACATAAATACCTATTTTATAAAAAACTCAAAATCGCCAAAAATGACTTACGCAATTCGGTTATTAGCG